CCCTTTTTTTTTTTTTTTTTTTTTTCTTCTTCCCCCCCCCCCCCCCCCCCTCGATTGTAACCAGAAAAGTGCAGAATTTTCCGAGTCTGAATATGTCCAAATTCTAGACTTTAATTTCCACCCCATTTTTAGTTAATTTATGGCTTTGGGGCCAACAGATTTGATAAGTCAATTAAAATGCAAAGATATTAAATTAGTTGAAAGGATTCGCGAATTAATAAACTTCTCAGACACCGACGCGAGTCGAAGAGGGAGCCTGTGTCGGCTCCAAGGCGATTTGAATCCTTTAACGGTAATGAATTATTCATTACCAGTCGCTGGCTGGCTGGCTGGCTGGTTGTCCGGGCCTACGACAGTCGATGATTAAATCAAATCACTTCAACCCGTTGCCAGGAATCCACTCCACACCACTCCAGGATCAAGTCAAGGTCATTGTTATCAGTACGCTGTGCAAATAATGCCCACGGGCCGAATTACTGTCTGCGCGAATGGGTGGGGGAGTCGTGGCTGGGGGTACATTAGGAGCTGCCGCATTTATATTTGTTGAAAGTCTTCACTTGGCAGTTCGTTGCCTTGGCAGGAAACAAACAAACCTCCAACCGAGTGGAAACACAAAAATCGATGAGAAAAGGTTCTAGAAAAAGGTCAAAGGTGGCAAAACAAAGAAATAAATAAGCGCGCAGGCAGATCGGACAGGAAGGGAATTACAGTACAGTGGAACACCCAACAAATACCCAATTATGTGTCGTTGAAATATGTTTTCGTATCTTTGAAATTCGTCACTCTACCACTGCCATGCAGAGCAGCACAATGGCTTGAGCTTGGGCCTGAAATTGAATTGGCATTTCCATCTGCAACTCCATCCTGCAGCATCCATCTGAAATGCAAAGAGCAATCAGCAGCATTCTTCTATGCTCCTTTGCTGGCTGCTTGGCTTGGCCTGGCTTGGCTTGGCATGGCATGGCATGAGTTGAATTTCCATTTCCATGCTGCTGCATTGCCCATTTGCTTTTAATAAAAATCCATTAAAAGTCAACAAAACAGGGAACCGAAACGTGCAGGCCGGGAAGAAGCATGTGCAGGCCAGAAGTAATAAAAAGCAGGGCCGAGGCAATGGCGAGCGTGCAACCGGAAACGGAAGTCGACGCAGACAAACACCAGATACGAAAGGGCGGCACCAGCCACCAGCCAGAAGACAGCAGCCAGCAGCCAGCAACATGCAGCACAAGTAGACAAAGGAGGAGGAGCAGTCGGAACGCCTGAGCAGCCTGAGAAAAGGACAACGGATAAGGGACCAAGGCTCAAAAGGAAGCAACAGAAAAACAATACGTTGCCCATTTTGTTGCTTCTCCTTTTACTCTGGGATGATTTTTAAATAAGCAAACATACACTTTTATGACATTCCAATTTAAGAAAAAACAAAAGGATACTCTTACTGGCGTGGAGTGCCAAAGGCTAATAGGCGCAGCCTTGACAGCACGTCCTGGGCGCATCCAGTATGCGGTTGGTGGGGCGCGGCACAGTGGCACACACACACAGTGAAACGACACAAACCATAAACGAAAATGTGTAAAAAGCTTAAGCGGCACTAAAAGCGGTATTCCCTCCAGCCCCAGCCCCAGCCCCAGCCCCCAGCACCACTTTTTCCCAAGGGCCATGGCCATAGCCATGCCAGGAGCAAAGGCAGCGACACCCAACCGCTCGGGACATCCACCATAGCCTCCAAATAGGTACATAATGGGCTCCTGACACTGTGGGCAGATGTCAACATGTGCTTTTATTATCAGAGAGTGCACCCGAGGCTCTGCCCCGCTCCACAGCACGTGGCAGGACTCGAAATGCAACTTAATTAAGAGCCGAAAAAGTAGAGGGGGCCCAAAGTGGAAGCCCCACCGGCAAAGGGGCAAAGGAAACTGCATCTGGCATCTGTGGCGGTTAATGCCGCACGGCCATAAATCTGTCGAAATGCGCTGCAGCCAGCATTCTCGTGGGGCAGCACGAAGACGAGGCACTGCACTGGACTGGTCTGGGAGGACCATATAAATATACGACTGCCAGGCGATAGCCAAGTGATGGCGACTTTTATGACCGCCCCACCAGCAGCGAAAGGAGTGAATTAAATGCGAGGTAATTACATATTATAAATGTGTTTAGTTCGGTGCACCATTTCCCCAGCAAATTATCACAATGTCCTCCCCATATAAGCCTCTCCCGATGCCTTTTAGTTGCACTTTGCACGAGCCAGTCGTTAAGTGAAAAACTGTACTCTATTTAGTTGCAAAATAGAGAGTACAATTTAGCAATGGCTTTATCGGGCACTCTGAATATAATTATTTTGTTATGGGT